TTGTTACTTCCGCCTGTCCTACTGGTGAAACTGACGTCAACAAGAGTCTTTGTGCTCTACTTTCTCAGTGGGCTTACATATTCAATCCTTGCCGGGCATTCTTATGCCTCGCCCTTAATGACGTAGGCAAGTCACTTCGACATGCCATTCGAAGATATCAGTCACATTAATCTTAATATCGTTTTCCCGACACCGAAAGTACGACTGAGAACCAACGTTTTCACTATCACGGATCTGCCTGAAAAGCATATGCACACAATAATCCAGTAAAATAGACACATTTAATGATATAATGTTAAAAAATAAAAAAAACACACCTCATTCCTAAAAGGTCGTTAATAGCTGCCAACGAAAAGACCTGGCTGATAACTCAACATGTAACCATGGAGGATAAGTTAAGAAGGGGTCACCACGAGCTAAGAATGATGGGGTTGTCCTCAGACGCATCAGGTTCAAGAAAACCATGTCGGTCACAATAAAGGAAGGAATAAATCCAGCGTACAATAGGATGTCGCATATGCACTTTTCAGGCCTGTAATCAGAAGGCAAATTAATACAATGTGGTTGCAATTCAAACATGAAGAGAAGCAAACGGACAGGCAGATGCGGAACAGAAGGAAAATCTAGATTCCCAAATTTGGAATTAGTATGCCAATAAAGAGACTACGAGAAAGTTTCTTTCACGCCCACCTACGATATATGTATTTGGAGCTGCGGTATGCATCTCAGTTGTAATTGAATAAAACTTTCTAATACAACAATCCTAACTACTAGAGAAAGAAAGTAGCAACGGTGCAAGCGTAAATTGCGAGAGGCTGTTCTGATATTTCTTTCTTACCCTGAGGGCCAGTAACGTCATCAGAGTTCAGATGTCTGTTGATGCTGCTGAGTGACTAAGATCATTCACAATAAAATGCTAATTTCTGGGGTTCATCGAAAGCATCCTGATTGTCACGGGATAAGGTCTCGACTGAGCTCCGACAGCCAGAAAAGCATGCACGACGTCCTGCCTCACCTGATGTGCATGGCGACCAGACGAAAGTTGAGACCGTCATTGCCTTGCCGGTGAAAAGCCTTGTGAATAGGGAGTGCGGAGATCAAAAGGTGGTTTCAGAGTTATCATCCATCTGAGAACTAGTCCTAGTTTCACGACTGCAAAATGGAATGACTAAAGGAACGGAAAAATTGGCCTGAGGACGGTTTTATGACGGTCTAATTTTTAGAAAGGGAATTATCGAACTCAAATTTCAAAGTATCAAGCCATAAAAAGAACAGTTTTCCTCTTCTGTTACCTGCTCACCGCTTTCGAACGTCAAGCCACCCTTGAAGAAGAGACCAGGAATTGCATAGTCCAAAGTATGAACTGTGCTTAACCGATACTAAAACAACGAGCTATATCTTCTGGGTAAATGGGCTATTTTCTTTGTTGCAGCAGGCTATGTGTTTCTTATTGTTGAATATTGCTTTTGCTGAAAGTGATATTACGTGGGCTTGCCATGGATAGCTGTACGAGGTATTGCTCGGCCGAAGGGAATCCACAAGACAAGAGAAGTTTTCTACGAGCTCCTTATCACGTTTACATATGTAAATACAATGGGCGCCGCATATCGCATACTCATGCGAACAACCTCGATAGGCTCAGCCAAAAAAAACTACATGCGGCACCTAAGGCTGGAGGAATAAAGTCAAAGTCTTGTTATGCATCCGGACAAAGAAATCAGCGGATAATCCTATTTGGCAGCTAATTAGCAGTTTTAGGGAGACAGCTTATCAGCCAGAGAGAAGTTAAAAATCATCTACGCCCATTAATTAGCTTTGATTGGAGGCAGTGGAACTGAAGACGTAGTCAAAAGCATGCGGAAAAGCGATGTGTCTGCGTGATTCACATGAAGAAGTGGTGGGGTTGAGCTTAGTAACCGGTGAAGGGGAAAGTTAGAGGTAAGGACGAGGAGAGGAAAGCAAGAAGTTGGGAGACTAGGGTACCATTGATCCTGAGGTTCTTTCTACGCACCGCTTTCAAGGTCGGAGTTTGGTGAACCTTTTTTGCAATGTAACAGTCCAGCAGTCTGATAATATGAAGTATAAATAACCGTGAAATGGTGACTTGCCTCTGCATAAGTACGACGTAAACGCAAGCTTAGTCAATCAAGCTGCAACAGTCTTAACCCAGGTGGTGTGATAGAAGTACTCCGTACCGAAAGCATTATTGCGAGGAGACTACGGAGACGAGATATCCTTTTTGATATGGACAAGTAGGAAAACTGGTTCCTTAGGAAGCCTGTTATTAGTAAGGAAATGAGCATATCAAACGAGCTGAAGATTCAATGGTGCATAAGTGACCGATCTCATGAAATGCTGGCCAACATCCTGAGATAATTTTCGATTTGGAAGTCTAGGCTGTAACGGTAATTATCCCGCAGCCCAGGCTCATGATATTTTGGACTTTTCAGCAGGTTGGCTTTTGAGTGCACTTCTTTTTGATCTCCTGTAATAACTTCCCTCGGTAAAAAGTGATTACTTAATAAGCATGCATTTCACGTTGATTTTCGATGGGCTTATAAATTATAAATATATTTTATAGAAAGTATGAACAAGAGATTCTTACTCCTACTCATTTGGTGGCAAATCACGCCGTCTTCCCAGTTTTTACTCAAAGAAAGGGTATGTTTAGGTTTGGAAAGAATTTTCCAATTTCCGAATAATTTGTGCCAGATCAGCCGTTACGTTGACGTTTGACGATTTCAGTCTACCGACAGGTCGCTTAAGTCTCAGGGGTTGCAAAACCTCGAGTTGGGCGCAGCCGACTGATGACGGCTATTAAGCCAAAAACGGTCATTCGAGTCTCCCTCGTCTTTTCGTCAACGTTATTCTGCCTATGTATGTGTATGTATACATGCTGAATAGCTGAAGTAATGTGTATTCCGAGCTGAGGGTACTTAGCTGAAAATAGGGCTTTGTTCTTGTTACCAATCCGCTATCAGACGGAATGAATAGCGGGAGGTGGGAGTGTCACATTAGTGTTCGGGTCCACAGACAGGGAGATAGCTGGACGTCTTTACGTGGAGGGGTGTGCATCGTGTTGTGGTGAGTGCCGGAGATGAGGCGAGTTTTGTGAGTCTCAGAAGTGTAAATTCGAAGTGCGTCCACCGGTCAGGTTACAGCACACACTCGTCCCATTGTGCTTTGGGGCTCGATCTAGGGCCTCGCAGGCAGTCGGACGGCGACTGGTGATATGGGCAGAATAAGATCGCTGGAGTGGTCATTTCTGGCTTATTGGCCGTCACCAGCCAGCCCTACCCAACCCAGGGTTTGGGACGAGCTTGAGATTCGGACGAGGAATCTTTGGTCATTGAGTCAGACGCTCTGTCAACTGAGTGACAAGCATATCCCGTAACCTGATTGGTGATTACAGTCAAGATATGGTTAGTTGTTCCGATTGCAACCGTCAGGACAACGAGTCCATGGTTTAATTAGTTGGGCGTTCGACTCAATGAGAAAGGGTCCCTCATTCGGATCTCAGATGTTTCAAACTTGTGGTCGAATGTAACTGACTGATGACGACTAATAAGCCGGATAAACGACGACTCTCACTGCAGGACTATCTGCGGCCGGCCACAAAATTTCATTTATTGATTTCATCCCTATGTAACACATACCTGGCGTTTACTGAAATTTTCCCTCTCAAACTACGCAAATGACTGCACTTTGAGCTGATTGTATATAATTGCACATAATATTTCATATGTACATTTAGAAGACCGCCTGCCACACTTGCAGTCCCGCACTGTAAAAACGTTTTCCGCAAACAACTATGTTACTGGCAAAACTTTAGTAAGATGTGCATTTAACATTTATATTGTATGTGCCGTTTTCAATGGGATCATCAAGGGCATTGCCTATTACCCTAAAATACACTATATACAAATGGCCGTACCAATCTTCCTTGTCTTTGCCGGTGATCTTATTCTGTCCAATACATATTTAGGCTAGATCGCAGTTGGTAGCCCGGAATGGGAAGCGGACGGCGACCTTAACCCTAATCCCAACCTTAACCCTAACCCTAACCTCAACCGTTACCGTTAACCGTCAACCCTAACGGCAAACCTAACCCTAAGCCTAGCCGAAATCGTAAAAGTAACCGTAGCCCTTAGACATAACCTTAACTGAGAAGCCTAATCGTAATACTAAAACATATTCGTACGCTCAAACCCTAACCATAACCCGAAAACCTAAGCCTAAATGCATAACCCTAACCGGAAAATCGGAAACCATTAACCGGTACCCTACTTGTACTTACTTGATACGGCTGCGATCATGCCTAATCTAGCCGGCCTCGATGATGTCCCGAATTGTACCTCTCCACGCGTGACGATCCGCGGCAGCAGATCTAGACAGCTCAACCCATTCCCTTCGCCAACGACGGAGACCGAATACCGAAGGTCCAAGAACCACCTCCATGTCTTGACGGACAGTGTCGAGCCAGGTTTTGAACTGCCCCCTCTTCGACTCCTCCAATGGGGCAACGGTGCCGGATCGAGGGCTGTAACACTGAGCTCCTGAGGTGGACGACGAAGAACATGCCCGAACCACCTCAGTCGTCTTTCTTGGATGGCCTGAGTTATCCTCGCGATGTTGTCGCAGCGAACGCGGACTATCTCATTTGAGACGAAGTCGGTTAACTTCACTCGAAGGATGATCCTCAAGCAGTGGTGGTCAAATACCTCCGGTTTTCGCTCATCCACCACGCGCAAAGCCCTGCATTCACAACCGTAGAGAAGGACAGACCGGACAGATGCGCGGTACACGCGAATCTTAGTGGCGATGGAGAGGTCACGTCGGTTCCACAGGCATTTCCGAAGGCTTGAAAAAACCCAGCGGGCAGCATCGATTCGGGAGACAATGTCGTCCTTACTCTGTCCATTAGGCAGCAGCCGCGCCCCGAGGTATTTAAAACTGTCCACTTCTTCAAGTTGACAGCCATCAATCCCCAGGGGTGTCTTCTACTGGTCAGGGATGCAGCTTGAGAATACTTTGGTCTTCCCTGCGTTTATGGACAAACCGACTGATTTAGCGACCTCGTTCACTCGTGACACCATAGACTGCAGATCACTAAAACTTGAAGCAAGTAAGGCGATATCATCGGCGTAGTCGAGATCAGTCAGTTGATGTCCGGGTGCAAATTCAACACCGTCACTGTCGCGTAGGGCCCTCCCGAGGATCCAGTCAATAGCGTAGTTGAACAGTATGGGTGACAGGATACAACCCTGTCGGACGCCAGACCGAATACCGAACGGTTGGGAAAAATTGTTACGGACCAGGACTCTCGCAGTAGTGGAACGATAGTAGGCCTTGATCATGGCGATGATTTTTGCCGGTACACCATCTAGCGCCATTATCCGCCACAGGGACTCACGGTAAACGGAATAGAACTCGGCGGCAAAGTCAACGAAGCAGACGGCCGTCGGTTGTTGGTAGCTATGGCTAAATTCGAGAATGCGCCTCAGTGTGAATATCTGATCTGCGCATCCACGTTCAGCACGAAATCCGGCTTGGTTGGGCCTCGTCCTTGAGTCACGCACAGCCTGGAATCGTCTGAGTAGGACAATAGCGAAGACCTTCGCAGCAACGTCGCCGAGACTTATGCCGCGGTAGTTCTCGCATCTCGTCTTATTTCCCTTCTTGAGGATAGGTACAAGGATGCCTAAGCCCCAGTCATCAGGAACAACCTCGTCTCTCCACGCTCGTTCAAGCATCTCATGGAGCCAGTGCGCCAGAGTGTCGGCACAAAGCTTAAAGATTTCAGCGGGTATACCGTCCTCTCCGGGTGCCTTATTGTTGCGCAACTTTCGTATGGCATCGGCGACTTCTGCCTCGGAGGGGGGATCGCATGGCACTGCATAGGTAGGAGAGGGAAGAAACTCCGCTGAAGAGGAGAACAAGGGCGATGTAGGTTGGGTATCGAAGTTGAGATGGTGCTCAAAGTGCTCACGCCAGCGCTCGACTTTGGCCGAGTTGTTAGCAATAAAGCCGCCGTTCACATCGCGAACAGAGTCACTCAGTGTAGAGGGCTTACCGCTAACTTGGCGGATCAGACGATAGAGCTTTCGAGTGTCACCAACGTTCGAGGCCTGTTCCATGGATGTCGCTATTTCAGCACAATATTGTTTCCGGTCATCCCTGGCCGATTTTGCCGTCATCTTCCGAAGTTGGCGGAAGTAGTCATCGTTGCGGGACCTGGCTCTAGCCGTCTGAGCAGACAACTGCAGGGTTCTTCCGCTGATCCAGTCACTGCGGCGTCGCTGGGTGTATCCAAGGATTTTCTCAGCTGCCCCATAGACTGATCTCTTCAGTGACGACCACTGGTTACTGACTTCTCCGTCGGCTCGGGCCGTAAAACAGGTCCGGATTTCTCTGCTTAGGGCCTCGTCAGTGCTGGCTTGCCGGATTTTTGCGACATTGAGGCGTCTAGGACGTGGCATTTTTGGTGCGGATGAGAGGTGAACTTTCAGGCGTGTACGGACGAGGACATGGTCCGACCCATGGGCGTTACCAGTCTCGGCACCACGCATCGATCTGCTATCGTGAACCCAGCTGCGGAACCTTGAGCTGACTAGTACGTAGTCAATCTGACTGGCCGTACGACCGTCGTTTGAATACCAGGTCAGCAGATGTTTTTTGCGATGCTGGAAGCATGTGTTGGTGACAAGCAGTCGGTTTCGATCAGCGAAGTTCAGCAATCTCTCACCATTTTCACATCGGGAACCAAGTCCAAAGCGGCCAAGAAGATGACTGGTTGTGGGGACGCCAGGTCCAGTTCAACCATTCCAATCGCCAGCAACTATCAGCAGATCGCGGCGAGGCAGTCTTTCAACTAGCGCTTGCAACTGAGAGTAAAACGCCTCTTTATCGCGCTGGTCGGCAGCCGAAGTTGGTGCGTACTCAGCGACGATGGAGATGTTCGTGAAGTGACCCTTCAGTCGCACGTAGACCATCCGGTCATTTACTGGTTACCAAGCAAGTAGCGCAAGCTCCGCTTGTTGTGATAGGGCGATCGCCACACCGTGTCGACCAGAGGAATCGCGGGGGCCGCTGTGGTACAGGGTGAAGTAGGATTCGACTCCCGGGATCTTTATTTCACGAGAGCCCGAGTCGGGGAGTCGTACCTCAGACAGACAGCAGACATCCACGTTGTACTGATGAAGGCTGCGTGCGGTCAGACTTTGGGTACCAGGGTCCAGGAACGTTCGTACATTCCAGCATCCAATACCGAGAGTCCTTCCACGATTGAGTAGTCCAGATCGCATACTATTCGCCCGCACCACTGGACTAGGGTTGCGGAGCGCGTCGGTTCCCGCGGACGCCGTAGCATGGGTCGTAGTACTGTGATTGGACATGTTGCATGAGGTTTCTTGGGAATTTCAAATACGGGCGGGTCCCCAACAGCCGCTCGGATTGTTTGTTCGAGGTTGTCTCCTCTAGCGCTTTGGCTTAAAAATCTAACCACAAGGCAGCGGTGGCAAGTAAACTTATTTAATGGCGGTTTACGGTCGCCATGTCACAATGCCGTCATTGGGCTTTGCGGCATTTTATAAGGCTAC